GGGGGGGGGGGAGAAAGCAAATGGTGTTAAAAATAAAGCAAGCAGCCAGAGTGTAGTTTTCCCTAGAGGACAACTGACATGCTTTAGGTAAAAAGGACCTGTTATTAGCCCTGAAACCTACTTTAAATAAAAATGTAAAACTTATGTTTCTGTATTTAAATGTAATTAATTTTCATTCATTTAATTAAACTCGTGTCATTTCACTACTATTAAATCATTTAATTAAACTGTGATCAGCCTAAAGTTTTAAAACGCAGTGCTACTGAATCAGAACTCACTAAAATGTATTAAGTTCATTTTTTTAATTGAATAAACATTTTTTAAGAAACATTCAAGGAGAAAGAGTATTAAAAAGCTTAAATTAATTACCTTGCTAGAGTTAAATCATGATGATGGTATTCTAATGCTTTGGCATAATCATGCAAATAGAAATAAGCATTGCCCAGCTGGCTGTAAATAGCACTAAGTGTTTTTAGGTCTTCAGTTCCAACTTGAACTGCAGCTTCAAAGAAGGACACACCAGCGCGGCAGTCTCCTGACTTACACAGACGTTCCCCTTCCAAGGCCAGTTCTAGGCAAGAAGCTTCCATTCTATAAAATTACATAGGACAGACATTTACAACATTATATTATAACTGCACCACAGTTATTTTTAACTTCAGGTAATACAATTTTAATGTTGGCTGTGTCTACTCTTGCTTAGAAGAGCTGCCTCTATAATTAAAGTATATATACATTATTGATAAAACAGTAAACTATTATTTATAGCATGAGCTAATTTGCCTAATCAAATGTCTCTGAGCCCCAGATGTCTTTTATATAGGATAGCTAAATACCTCTATATGGAGCCCATTTTAATTGGCCCACCCAGAGCAACCCACTTCACCAATGAGAAAACCTAAAGTAGTGTTTCCTAAAGTATTCTGAGTTGTGGCAGACTTATGGACTTCCTCAGAGTGTGGGAGAAAACAGGTACCTGGGGAAGGTGATGTCCTATAATTAATACTCTTCTCTATCTAGGTATCTAAGTGATCTACTCAGCCATACATCAAGCCCTCCTACCATCCCTATCTCTTTCTCTGTCTCAAACACTCACACACACTCCTTTCTGTCCTTACCACCACATGGTATCTCTACCTCAGAAAAAAAAGGAGCAAAGTATTTTGATCTATAAGGCATACTTCTATAAGAGAACTAAGTGACAAGAAACTTTGTTAGAAAGCAATAATTTAAATATTTTCAGAAAGTCTAATTCTCAAAGTCTGTCACTGGATTTTTAAAAGCTAGAAGAATTAAGTTATTTTAAATCTTCATTGGAGAAAAAGCAATGATACTTTAGGTTCTAATCCTAGATTTTAGAAGGTGACTTTTACCAAAGTTGCCACTGTGTTTCTTTAACATTTTTATGATTTCTGCCATGTTTATATTTTACATAATCATACACTTAAGTGTGTTTCTACAATTTGGCAAATTTCTTTGAAATCGGCACATGTAATTTTTAAAAATCTGGCTTCAAAGCAGTATCCATGGAACTGTGAGGAGTTTGGTGTGATACTTATTTTCTAATGCACATTAAAACAAATATGTAAGTATTAAAATAAAAAAGTAAAATTACCTTATGTAACACCAGTGGTAGGGACACATATCACCCTTTGGGAAACTCTGATTAAGCTCATCAAGCATTCTAATTTTGTTGAGCAGCATGAAATTACTCCTTACTGGAATTAGCTTTGAACAACTCTAACAGAGTAGTGATTCCTGATCCTGGCTGCACCACAGCAGAGCTCATATGGAGTGCTTTTTAAAGCTCTCAATGCTGGGTCCCACTCTCTAGGTATGAGGTCTGGCTCATAGTATTTTTTAAACACCCCCAAGAAATTCCAACATATAAGCCAGAGTTGAGAATCACTGCTTTAACAAGAAATAGAAATTAAACCACAACTCGCCCTAAAGTCATTCAAATAGGATTATACTTTTGTATTTCTAGTAGCAGGCCAATCAATTAACATGTTTCTTCAGATGCTGTCTTTTAGCCTATAAAACTTCAAGGTTCCTTAAAGCCATAAATTAAAATGGGATTGCAAAAGTGGAAAATAAATCTGATAAAGAGAAAAGTCTGGACTAAGATTAACAGATCCAATTGCAAAGGTTCAGAGCAGACTTTTGGTTATGTAGCAGATTTATGTAGTCATCTATGATAGGTAAATTTCAAGTTTTACATCCAGGTATCCTTTTTTTATAATTCAAGTAATTAAGTAAAAGGATACAGTGTGATCACAATTACACTAGTGATTTCACCCCCACTTAATGGATTTAGGCAAAATAATGCAAGTGAACCTCTACTTAATATTTTGCTTCAACATTAGACCAATTATATACAAAGAAGAAAGATCTAAAGCACACAGAAAAATTAATCAGTTAAACCAGAAAACTTAGAATTTTTGCTATATTTACTTACTTAAAATTTTTTTTAATGTTCATTTATTTTTGAGGGAGAGAGAGACAGCACAAGCAGGAGAGGGGCAGAGAGAGAGAGGGAGACACAGAATTCGAAGCAGGCTCCTGGCTCTGAGCTGTCAGCACAGAGCCTGACACGGTGCTCAAACTCCCAAACTGCGAGGTCATGACCTGAGCCAAAGTTGGACACTTAACTGACTGAGCCACCTAGGCACCCCTGCTATATTTATATTTCATGTCATTTCAAATTAATAAAACCAATTTTCATCTTTCACAAGTAAAAACTGCCCTTTAAAACTGTATTTTTGAGGGGCACCTGGGTGGCTCAGTGGGTTGAGTATCCAACTTCAGCTCAGGTCATGATCTTGCTGTCTGTGAGTTCAAGCCCTGCATCAGGCTCTGTGCTGACAGCTCAGAGCCTGGACCCTGTTTCAGATTCTGTGTCTCCCTCTCGCTCTCTGCCCCTCCCCCACTCATGCTCCATCTCTGTCTCTGTCAAAATTAAATATTTAAAAAAACTGTATTTTTGAAAATTAGGGACTTCATAAAGAAAAAGATTATTTTTGAGGTTTTATGAGGTTATTGCTGTATTTTGTGTATGAAGAGAAATGAGGCAGTACAAAGACTACTATGTAAAAAATGTGATTTTCTTAAAGGATTCTTTGGCTAGACTGGCTACCTAAACTAGGTGTCTTTATTTGTCTGAATACTGAAACCACTGAACTTTCAAGAATTACCATAGTAAAAAAAAATTGGAAAAGATATTTTTACATATAAAATACTTTTTCTATTAAAAATTTTTAACTTAAGCATGATTCTAATTATGTAAGAAAATTATATATTGAGCAATTTCACTGGTAGGAATTGATCTTAAAGTTTTATGTACACAAATTCAAGAATATATATGTGAAAGGACATTCACAGCAGCAAAAACACACACACACACACACACAACTTAAATGTCCATCAATAGAGTATTAAGGAAAATTACACGCCACTGTACAATTGAATACTAATAATGGCACATGATTTCACTGAAGGAGAAGTAGAGAAATAGTTACATACAGCAGCACCATCAGTTCAAGATGATTAGCTGGCTGGCCAGGAAATTAGGGACAAGGCAGAACTGGCTATTCATAGATAAGACATGTAAAAATTGGAAGTTTACAACATGTTTGCCTATATCCATATAAACCAGAGAAGTGTCTTCTTCAAATAAACATCTTCACCACAAATATTTGACTTTCTGGTTTGAAACTTACACAACGTTTTACCGGAACCATCAATCCAAATTATGTATGTAACAAAATTTAGCTGCAGACTGAATTTATAGCTACAAATTTTTAAAAAGACATTTTAGATAATTTCATTAGAAACAGTCACAGCAAACTGGAGCCCTGCTGGCTGCTCAGCTGTCTCTGAAGTCCATGAAGTAAGAATGTCCTATAAGAGAAACTACCTTGGAAAAGTTATTTCAGTAAGTAATTCCCAAAATAAAGTCCCCAACTCTCTAGTAATGATTAATTCTGAGATATATTGTAGCTCTGGTATGTTTTATTAGAAAAGAAGTCAACATTTTGGCAAAATCTCCAACACCTAAAATCAAATATATCTAATTGCATAATAGTCAAGGCAGGTTGGCTTATAAATTTTTTAGAAGATCATTAAATAGTAAGGGAGAAAGTAATTTCATATCCTCTCTCTCTCTATGAGAGAATAGAATTACTTCATTTGTTTACCAGCTGGGTTGGAAACAAAGAACACACTCAGAGTAGAAGACAAACCGGGAAAATACCTCCATTAAAATACATCCCACATACAAAGTTTCTTTTATTCTTCCTAATGGCCTAACTAGTTGTAGAATCAAAGAAAGTACATTCCTAATAACTACAAATAAGCACAGTACTACTATACTTAACTGAAATGTTTTCATTTTGCCAAAATGTTATAATTATAGTTATAATTCCTCATTTTTTGCACAAACCCATGTCATTTCAATTTAATTTTTATATTTTTAATTATTATTACTATTCACTTTTCTTCCACGCTAGATTTTTCCTTTACCTTCTTAATTTTAGTTTCTTGTGTTCATAGTATATCAATGAAAGCAAGAGAGGATTAAAACCTCAATGCTACATCATTTAAAAAGATTTCATACAGATTATGTTCAAATTTGACCCTCCCCTCAAAAGGTTTACATAACTATTTAAGAATAAACAATGGGATTGAGGTCTCAGGCTTCAATACGAGAGTGTTCTGCATCTTCTCCACTGTGCTGTCTTCTATAGCTGTCAAATCTCTTTACAGACCTTAGTTCCACCTTCCATGTGTTCTAATTGGGCATGGATCTTTTCCATTACCAATCCTACCTCCCACAAACAATTTTCATCCATTCTGTTTACCACATATATCTATTCTAGTTTACTTGCAAAAGGGAAAGTAGTATAAATTTACCTTGATTTAGATTTAAGTTTTGATTGGTAACTTAGTTTTAAAAGTGATTTTACTGTATATTATATTAAGTTAAATTCTCAAAATAACCTTCTTGAGAATTACTGTAGAGGTATTACTACAGAAGAGGAAATTGATGCTCAGACAGGTTGAGTGACCTATTAAGATCATAGGACTGCAAAGCTAAGAAATGAAATCCTGTCTTTGTCTCTAAATCCAATGCTCTTTCCACTATTCAACTACCTCAAACTCAATATTCCTCAAATACTCTTCAGGAAAGAATATTAACCACTACATTTACCTAGCAAAATTAAAGAATTCAACACCAAAACTGTATTCCTTTACAAATTGTGTGCAATAGTCTAATTTTTACAATATGAAAGTTACTGAAGTAGGAACAAATACAAGAGAAATACAAGAGAAACTAGTTTACTAATGAACCTGATACATCCATCTTTCAACATCAACAATTACCAATATATAATATTACCAGTGTGTTTCATCTCTATTTCCATCCTCACTCTCTAACCCTAGATTCTTTTAAAGTAAATTCCAGAAAGCATATGATTTCATTTGTAAATATTTTAGTATGTATCTCTAAAAGAGTCATTTTCAAAAAAAATTAATACTATCATGCCTAAGAAAACTAATTATAATTACTTTAAAAACAATCATATATTGTTAAAACATTTTTTTTGTTTATTTTTTAGAGACAGCGTGAGTGGGCGAGGGGCAGAGGGCGATAGAGGCACAGAATTTGAAGCAGGCTCTAGGCTCTGAGCTGTCAGCACAGAGCCCGACATGGGGCTTGAACTCATAAACTGTGAGATCATGACCTGAACCGAAGTTGGCCACTTAACCGACTGAGCCACCCAGACACCCCCATCATATATATACTGTTTTAAAGCTTAGAAACTAACTTCATTTTACTATCAGTCTCCATTTCTCTCTACCTTCATAAATAGGTCACAAAATATTTCATAAAGTATTCTAATATCTCTCAGGAGGTTCCTTAGTGTCTAAAGAATTATTCTATTTCAAAATTATAAACTCACTGTGTCACACAATGTTCTCCAAGGATGGATGAAGACTTCCAAAATGAAAGAACAAGAAGGATAAAACAATATATGCTACCTGTTTACCAGAGCAGAGTAATAACTTATACCAGGCCATGAGTCCTAACATAAAGGATAAAAAGTATTACCTGCAATTATACAATAATCCAATATACAGAATATATATCAATATACAGAACGCTGATCCTAAAGCACTGAAGAAGCTAAAGCTTTGTTTGGCATATTGGGATTTGGTTTTTTGTTTGTTTCTGTTTTTGTTTAAGCCTAATCTCATGACCTTGAGATTAAGACCTGAGCTGAGATCAAGTTGGATGTTTAACTGGCTGAGCCACCCAAGTCCCCCATGGCATATTCTTACTAAAAATAGTTACAGTGTTTAAAGTTTCGTTTGGTGAAGTCCTATACCAATACACAACTATGTCTGACCTATGCTATATCATAGAAAAAGGACAAATCTAACTTTCCCATAGGTAGATGTATAATCCACTCCCCCTTACCTGCTGCTCTTACACAGTATTAAGAAGTATACCACTCTTGAAAATGTTTAGCAAGATGAAATCTTACTTACTAGGTTCAACTGATAGTTATGTCCAGTGAAGTTCAATATACATTCCATCACACGTGCACTATGAGTCAGATAACATGCTTAGCATCATGGCTGCCCTAAGGAAGTTAATGGTCAAAGGGAGGGGTCAAAGAGGACACAAACTTATAAACAGATCAAATGAATTTTAATATAGTTGATGCAAAGAAAGAGATATGCAAAGGATGTTATGGGAGCAAACGGAGGGCACATAGCCAAACTATGGCATTTGGAAGTGGTTTCCAAGAGTAGATAATTCAAGTCATAGAGTGCATCATGAGCAAAGGCACAGAGACACGGAACAGCAAGACATGTATAGGAAACCAGAGCTCAAAGTGCAAGGCTAGGACTGGAAGAAAGTAAGAACAAAGGAATACACAGATGCTAGAAAAAGGAAGATATTGTATACTATGTTAAGCTTGGCTCTGCCCTACAGGTGACTAGGAGGCACCAGTGATTAAGCAGAATTTGCACAGTTAGCTCTGTTTTTAGAGTGAGCCCCCTAGTGGCAAATTAAAAAGATGGCTTCTAAGAGGTGAGAATGGAGAATGGAGTGAGTCTAGAGGAAGATGAAGGGGGCCTAAACCACAACAGTGATAGGGAGGATACAGATGGGGTAGATAATTCCGAGCAACATTTAGGAGATAAAACTGACATGACTTCACAATGGATACAGAGAATGAGAAGCGGAAAAAAACATGTAAGATAACTCCCAAACTTCTGGAACCATGCCCAAAAGGGTAGAGTTATATTAAAAGCTCATTTTAATTATGTTGAATGTCCCCCATTTCTTTATTCAAAACTTTTTTATTTTTATAAATTTTTTTAATGTTTATTTTTGAGAGAGAGAGAGAGAGAGAGCGCGACCGCGCGCAGGGGAGGGGCAGAGAGAGAGGGAGAGACACAGAACTCAAAGTGGGCTCCAGGCTCTGTGTTGTCAGCACAGAGCCCGACATGGGGCTTGAACTCACAAACTGTGAGATCATGATCTGAGCTGAAGTCGGACACTTAACCAACTGAGCCACCCAACTGCCCCTAAAACTTTTTTATTTTTAATAGAAATACCCTCATATTACAGACTATACAGACTTCCTTGGCACCATGCCCTAACACAAATCTGCCCCAAAGTACAATATATCTATTTCTTAAATGTGTGTTAAGATATCTAGGATTTGGCGGGGCGCCTGGGTGGCGCAGTCAGTTAAGCGTCCGACTTCAGCCAGGTCAGCTTCCATCTCACGTCCGCGGGTTGGAGTTCGCTGCCGGGCTTCTGGGCTTAGATGGCCCAGAGCCTGGAGCCTGCTTCCCGGACGATTCTTGTGTTTCCTCTCTCTTCTCTCACTGCTTCATGTTTGTCTTCTCTCTCTGTCCCAAAAATAAATAAACGTTGAAAAAAAAAAAAAAAAAAAAAGATATCTAGGATTTGGCAACCAACACCTTCAACTTATTAGATATGCTGAATAATCCTCACTGCTACAAGTTTTATTTACTATTAGCTTATGACATTTATGTTAAAGAATCTATTAGTATTCTAATCACCTTACTAATGGTTACATGCCTTTCATTCTAATATTTATGTTTATGTTCATTATATAGTTTAGTGCAATGACCAGAACTTCTAGAATAAAAGTTAAATAATGATGGGGGCACATGGGTGGCTCAGTCAGTTAAGCATCTGCCTTCAGCTCAGGTCACGATCTCACAGTTCGTGAGTTTGAGCCCCACATTGAGCTCTCTGCTGACACTGCAGAGCCTGCTTCAGATCCTCTGTCCCCCCCCACCTCTCTGCCCCTCCCCTGCTCATACTTTGTGCTCTTTCTCTCCCTCTCAAAAATAAACAGAAATTTTAAAATAAAAAAGATATCATTGCTTTGCTCCTAAATGTATCCGAAATGTCACTAATATTTTATCATTAAATATTAACCTATTAGTTTATCATGTTAAGAAAGTACCCATCCATTCCGTTACTGACTTTTTTTAATTTTTTTCAACGTTTTTTATTTATTTTTGGGACAGAGAGAGACAGAGCATGAACGGGGGAGGGGCAGAGAGAGAGGGAGACACAGAATCGGAAACAGGCTCCAGGCTCTGGGCCATCAGCCCAGAGCCCGACGCGGGGCTCGAACTCACGGACCGCGAGATCGTGACCTGGCTGAAGTCGGACGCTTAACCGACTGCGCCACCCAGGCACCCCCCGTTACTGACTTTTTAAAAAGTTCACTTATAAAAGATCACCAACAAAAACTGAAACATAAAAATTAGGTCATTCACATATGGTCCTATTACAAATCCAGCTTTTACCTCAAACATTTAGAAACAGATTTTATTTTTATACCTGTATTATAAGTTACAAAATATAAAGTAACTACTCATAAATTCTTCCAAAAAATGTTAATAAACGATAATATATAATTGATCTCTACCACTATTTTCCTATAGAAAAGATATAAAATCTTACCACAACAAAAAGAAAATATAGTTTATAGGAGATACTAACTACAGCTAGTATATTTTGAATATATTCAAATTTAAATTTGAAATGATCAGAGTGAAATACATGTTTAATAAGGATTAAAAGTCACCCACTAAGAAAGTAGTGGTCTTACCTGTAACGAACATGAAAAGAATGGTCTTCCCTCATGCTTATCAAATTTTCCTCCATCGAGTCATATTATAAGCTGAGTAAAATATGAAATTATTTTATTTTCAGCCAATCCAGTTCTTTACAATGTAGAATTGTTGCAGAACATTGTCCAGTTAGTATATTAATGAGTTGGTGTTAATACATCCTAAGCTCCTGCTTCTTCTTTATTAATAATGAAAGGAGGTCAATGTCAGACAGCTTAAAGGTTCAAAATGTGTCCCAAATCCTTGCATCTTTGGCCCTTTCAGCAGCACTTCAGCAACATTTCTGCAAAAGGAATACAAGATGCTTTGCTTGAAGTCCTATTTTCAAACAATAACCTAAAGTAATTCCAAGCCGTACATAATCACACAGACTGCTGTCATGTCAATCATGGGAGAAAAACAGCAGAGGGCTTAACTGTCATCACACAGCTTCTAAATAAGGATGTGAATGAATAGATGAGATTCATCTGAGGCCTGTACTTTAATTTTTTAAATCGTCCTAAAATACGATAATTTTATGTATTATTTTCTATTTATACACAAATTTAGAAGAATGTGTTAGAGTATCTAAAAACAAAATTATGATACTTCAAGCTTTTAAAAATTGCTATTGTAACAAGTTAAATGAAAAATTGGTAATTATTCGAACAAGTCAAATCCAAACTTTAAATTTATGTCTTCACTATATTTGTGCTGATCATTAGATTATATTTGTATTCCTTTGTTCTCAGAGCATATTCTATTTTTACTTTTTAAGATCTTTAAGATGTTTTTATTACTATTAAGTACAAAAGAAATTTAGAAAATATGTGTATAGTAGAATAACATAACATTTATATAACACCACCCAATTTAAGAAAAACAACAATATTATCACTGCCTTTGAAGTCTCCTGGGTGCCTCAATCTAACCCATCACATCTTCCTTTCCCCTCTAGGGTGATCTCTAAACTGAATTTTGTTCATTATTCCTTTCTTGTCTTTATAACTTTTGTACAATGCTTATATAGGCCTAAAAATCATATCATTTAGTTTTATGTGGTTTTACTTAACATTATGTTTCTGAGATTCATCTTGTTGCACATAACTACAGTTTGCATATTTTTACTGCTGTGGACCAAATATATTTTTATTCTGCTACTGATGGGCATTTGGATTGTAATTTTTGGATTTTTTGCTACTACTAAAGTACTGTTATGAACATTGGTAGTAATAACTCAATGTACTGGTTAAAAACTACAGCAGATAAGCTAAAGAGAGAATGAGTGAACTAGAAGGATATCTGAAGAAATTATCCTGACATTCACAAATAGATTAAATAGACAAAAAAACACTGAAGAGCAGTTCAGAGAACAGGAAGACAAAATGAGAGGCTCTGACAGAGGTCTAATTATAGTACTAGATGGAAAAAACAAAGAAAAGTAAAGGCAAAATCTTCAGTGATAAAGAGAATTTTTCAGAATTGAAGACAGATTGATAAAGCACACTAAGTCCTAAACAGGATAAATAAAAATGAATCCCATACCCAGATCTATCACAGAGAAACTACAGAACATCAGATATAAACTATAACTTCTAAGGTAACAACTGACAGAAACAAAGAAGATATATGTATGTGTATATATAAATAGATGTAATTTATAAACACACACACACACACACACACACATACACACACAAACACAATTATTAAGTCCTGGAATCTCAATGTTATAAACAACACTATAGGTAAATTAGTCTAACATTTTACTACCTCATTCCCGGAAAAGTCTTAAGGCAGCTAATCCTAATTTTGAATAGTCTTTTTAGACAGTTGTTCCATACTTTGAATAATCTTTCCATTTCTACCTATTTTTTCCCTTCTCCATCCAATAAGCCTAATTCCTTTTGCACATCATCCTTTTAAATATTTCAACTAGGGATGCCTGGGTGGCTCTGTCGGTTAGGAGTCTGACCCCTGCATTGGGCTCTGTGCTGAAGAGTGCAGAGCCTGCTTGGGATTCTCTCTCTCCCTCTCTCTCTGCCCCTCCCCCATTCAGGCTGTCTCTGTCTCTCTCAAAAATAAACTTTTAAAAATAAATGAATAAATATTTCAACTATAACATAAACTAGACTCTAAATCACACATACCCACTGCTTTGTTAATCAAGTATGGTTTGAGAGAGGTTAGTAGGAAACAGAGCAGTAAGGATTCCTGAGGAGGAAGAAGGTAGAAGGTGGAAAGGACTAGCTTTTTTTTTTTTTTTAATTTTTTTTTTTTTAACGTTTTATTTATTTTTGAGACAGAGAGAGACAGAGCATGAACGGGGGAGGGGCAGAGAGAGAGGGAGACACAGAATCGGAAACAGGCTCCAGGCTCCGAGCCATCAGCCCAGAGCCCGACGCGGGGCTCGAACTCACGGACCGCGAGATCGTGACCTGAGCCGAAGTCGGCCGCCCAACCGACTGAGCCACCCAGGCGCTCCTGGAAAGGACTAGCTTTGGGAATACTGACAAGCTTCCCAGAGGAAATGATGTTTTCATATTAATAACCAGTTTGACACATAAAAAACACAAAATATTATTCCTCTTATCCTTCCCTTGGCCAGCAAAAGAAAGTGTCTTAAGAAATGATGAAAAGACAGGGTAGCAGCTATTAATCCAACAAACTTCTTTTTCTTTTGTTCAGAATTCCATTGTGCCTCCTTAATAATAAAACTCTATTAACACTATTAGTGTAGATATTAACAGCAATAGCTTCAATGTACATCTAGATTACACAACAGCTAAACTGTCAACCAAAAGGTCTTCCCCTATCCACATTGCGGTTTAGGCTATTTAGGCTGTTATTTACAAAATGGTTTAACCGACTGCGCCACCCAGGCGCCCCTGTTATTTACAAAATGGGGCAGAAGGTGAAGTACTAGAATAAATTAAATTTTGAATTAAGTTATAACTTAATTGGAATGTTATTTTATCCAGATTATGAAATTCCAAATTTTAGCAATCATTAAAACTATATTAACTTCATACTTATTAAAATGGATACATGTAGTCAAATTAACAAATGTAAATAAATGGAATTGTGAAATACCTTATTTAAGACTGCACAGAGAAACATTTTAAAAATAATTAAAACAAGCAAGAAGATAGAATGTTATTCACCATTTCTGTATGGACAATTTATAACATGGTTTTACCATTCCCAAAAGAAATGTATACCCAAAGAAGTCACTCTTTCATCTACAATCTCCATAATAAAGTAGCATTTCTTATCTTATAATTATTCACTGAACAAGTAATTCTTGATTCAATGATTAATTCTGAAAGAACTCTCTGATTTAGGAACAATGTGTTCATTTACGCTCCACATTACAAAGAGTTAACCCACTTCATATTTAACACACAGTTTATATATTACCAGTGTGACAGTAATAAAATCTGTAATAAATATTAAATTATGTTCATTAGGATAAGAAAATTTAATGACAGGACCAGGAAATGGAATGGAAATTATAGGTTTGAAAGAGTATTAAGAAGTCATCAAATTTAACCTCCTATCTCCATTAAGACTTATAACTAATACTTTACAAGGAACATATATGTGCTTAGTAGTATCTCCCAGGTTTTAAAAAACAATGCTCCTAAAACGTCACTGCTAACAAAAACCCTCAGCATCTTTTGGTCTGAGCATACAGAAATGAAGAGAAAGATATATATTTTTTTCTATATGCTAGAAATTGACAAAAGCATATTGAAAGATAAGCTAGTATATAATTCTGATTGCCTCAATTTTTTTTAAATTTTTTAAAAAATATTTATTTATTTTTGAGAGGGCGAGAGAGAGGGAGAGCATGAGCAGGGGAGGGGCAGAGAGAGGGAAACACAGAACAAGAAGCAGGCTCCAGGCTCCGAGATGTCAGCACAGAGCCCGACGCGGGGCTCGAACTCAGGGACTGCGAGATCATGACCTGAGCCAAAGCCGGATGCTCAACCAACTGAGCCACCCAGGAGCCCCAGCCTCACTTTTAATTACCTGATTAGGAAGTCAAAATAGGCAGACTCCCATTACACAGCTAGGTGGACTTCTAGGCACTGTCCAAGGTATGTAATCAGAGTAAACAATAAATCCTATCCTTACTTTACTCCATCAACAGTAAAATATTTGCAAACTAAGCGATGCGGAAACATAGTACACAGTTACATGTATTATCATTTGTCCTTTCTTTCAATTTATTCAAACTATCCAACTTAAATGCCGATAACCTCTGGTCTGATTCTTTAAGTATCTCTATAAACTGGTAACACTCATCAGACAATAAATATAACTTACTTTTTTTGCCTCCTGGTTAGATAATCTAAATTCTTTAAACTTTGTATCCTAATAATTCCCTGTAAGAAGCAACAGTCAAATTCTCCAAATCCCTTTCAATTGTAATGTTTCAAGTCAGATACAGTAGCCCTTTAACAATTTGGGCAGGGATAAATATGGACAAAGAATCAAGAACACACTTAAAATGAAGTTCTTTTATATTAGACTTAAGGGTACAGGTTATAACAAATACACATCACAGTAATAATGGGGGTAATAAAAAAAGAATGCCAAAATAAAGTCCAATAGAGAGAAAAGTTCAGAGCTTGGTTTTAGTGTGGCAGGTGCTGAGGGAACAAAATAAAAGCAAGAAAAATTATTTTGACATGAGAATACATGACTGACATGGGAAATTAGTGCCTAAAGCAAGGGAAGTCAAACCCTAGAATGGCTGGGTACTTGATTAGGTAATCTAGCTAGGAATACCTAAAGAAAAATGAAAAACAATGGCCACTGATTAGATACGAGAAGTAAAGGTCAAGCAGTAACAAAGAGCATGCCAATATTTCCAATTTTCAAGGTAGATGGAACAGTAGCATTGCACAGTGAATGACAAATCGGATTGCAAGAGGGATACTTCCAAGGTGAGAAAATGGAGTCTTAGACTTTGAGGAGGGAAAAGTGTAATACTTCTTTTAAACTTGTACTTGGTAAAGTCCTATATTCACAAATAATAGCTGGAAA